GGGCATGCCTCGAGTGTGGACGAATTGGCTGTTGCTGCGGAAACATCCCCCACACATCTGGTGTTGGAAAACACTCACTAGGCCATGTTCGCAAAGTTTACTTGCAAATCAAATGCTGGAAAATCCCTACTTAAAATCTATCAGGGATTCTCCGTCAGTGTGAGATGACACTTATCAAAGTCCCTGGGAGAGGGTGCTAGTCAATCCATAGACCTCTAGAAGATTCTGTCGTGGTTCCACCAGAGATGTCACAAATGGGAAGGCACAGGAACAGTGAAATGTCAGCAAATGCACCATGGGGTTACGTTCTGTAGTCAGCTCCCCAAAGCCCACCCAACCCTGAAAGTAGCTGCCCCAGGAGACTGACGCCCAGCCTGATGGGAGGAGGGGGAAGGAGAAGGGATTCTCCTCTCCCGGTTTCCAGCAGCCAGGCCAGCCCCCTGTGTCATCACCAAGCAGGTGGAATTTGTCTTTTGCATCTTCCTTTCCTGAGCCCTGTCCCCAGCACCTGTCTGTGTCTCTCTCCCTTTGCCCGTCTTGCTGCCTGGAGCCTTCACCTATGCAACCTCTCCCTCTCATGTCTACCCCGAATCATCTACTGCCCCATCTCGTCCCTGACCCAAATCAAAGCCCCAGCTCGCTCCTTCAGTGTAGTTCACTGGTCCTCAAACGTCACTGTACTTAACAAACATATTCACTCTTTAAAAAATGCCCTAGGCCTCACCCTCAAATATTTTGATTCTGTTCCTAGGGTAGCACTGCAGATGGTTCTAATATGCACCAGGGCTGAGAACCCTAAATGCTAAAAGTTTCAGATAGCATTTATCCACCCCAAAAGTGTGGACAACTGATGATACTCATTAGATATCGGTAGAATTTAGGGCAGTAGTTTAATGAAAAGGGTTAAACAGCAATTTTTAGATTTGGGGGACAGGCCAGCCAATGCATAAATTGTTTATCTGCAATAAATGCGTCTGAACTGTTCTGACGTTTCGCACCTTCTTCCCTTCCTCCAAGTCTGAACTCACAACCTTTAGAAATTCCATGGCCCCCACATGCCCCCACACTCCCACCTCTAGCTCCCATCAGAGGCAGCTGAGGAAAAGTCTGAATAAGGACAGGGCCGGTGGTGATGCCATAGGACTGGCCACACACTCTCTCCCTGGGCTGCTCCTAAGTCCGACTTGTATACTTAATTCTCCTCTCCCTTCAGGGGCATGCACTGCAGGAGTGTCAGAGAGCAGACCCCAGAAGTTAGGGGCTTTAGAGTTGACAGCTGATCCCCACAAGCCCTCCGTCTCTCTTCTCTCACAGATGCAATCTCCACCATGGATTGGGTACTTGCTGCTAAAGTGCCCACAGGGGACAAAGGCTGGCCAGGTGCTGCCCTCTGCCCTCCCTCTGGTAGTTTTTCCATTTGGCAGATAAGTCTTGCTCTATTCTTAGCACTAACACAGAAATCAAAGAAGACTTAAACCAAAAACCCAGTGTGGTCCTTGTGTAGCGCCTGCTGCATTGAGAAATTTCAGGAAAGCACAGAGGGGAGTGGCATTGGACTCGGCACACCCAACCCAGCGACACCAGGATGCACAGGGTCCCCAGATCCAGAGCTTGCCCACAGGGGTGCAGACGCCTCTCTGAGGAGGAGTTCCCTCTAGAGTGGAAAATTTTATCATCTGTCTTTAGATTCAAGGTGCTGCACACCTAATAGAGTCACCTTTACTTCGTGCTTCATCAGCATTGTCTTCTGCGACTTTCCATTTTGTGAAGGGGAACCCGAGGGACAGAGATGTCAACCGACTCGCCCTACCTGAACCTAAAGCCCAAGCTCGGAAACATCAAGTCCTCGGAATCACCGAAAGACTCATCCATTTCATGGAGAAATAGTCTCAGAGATTGGCCTATGGTATTTCAGGGATATAGATTTGATATCCCTCAAATTAAAAATGCGGAGGAGATATGTTAATTTAATGCTTTCCTATCACTTCCCAAATTAAGACCAACATGTCTTGGTAAAAGAGGAAAAAAAGGTAGCAGGAAGTATACATCACGTGGGCTAATACTGTATGCTTTTTTGGATGAACCATTACTCGTGAGCGACTTTTGGTTCCTGAGTCTCTGAAGACCCACCCATCTTCACGCTCGAGTCTCTCAGCCACCAAGACCAAGGAAAGGTCCCTAAGCCTGTGGTTCCCAAACTCTGTACTGAGGCATGCTGAGCCACTCTAGCAAACACCAGGGCCACTGCTGGGTTTTACAATTTCGAGGGACACACATCAATGTTGGATCTCTGGACACCACGCGGACTCCTAGTTTGTCAGAGTTCACAGTTTTGACATTAGCTCAATGTTAGCTCATGCTTTCTTCCTCCTGAGGATATCTTTGGGGAAGCTGAAGTTTCGGCTGTTGCTGTGATAAAAAGTAGGAGTGAAAATCAGAGTGAAACCAGACATGATGGTGGCATTATGCAGTCTGATTCCGAGGTTGGAGGAGTTACGCAGGGCCCAACAGGCCCAAATCACCGCTGACAAGCAATCATGATCAGTAAGAATGAAACAAAAATATTATTCTCTTTCTTTCAACTTACATTGGTTTTTCAAATGGCCACGCAGTTGTTAGGACATACAAACTTAAGTTGCTCAGACCTACCTACTTAATAAACGTTGCCGTGAGGAATGTATTTGGCCTTGAGACTGTGAAAGAAAACCGAGACAGCGCGGTCACTGTGAATGGAGAGTTCGGAGCCTCTCCCTCTGTCTCTGAGTGCTCACACAGTGCCGCGGGCATCTCGGAGGTCTCTGCCTTTACAAGGTGGCAGGGCGTGATCCCAGAAGGGAACCAGGACTCACAGCCTTCCCCACCCCCATGCCGCCTGGAAACTGACCTGAAGGTCAGCACAGACCAACTTGTTCTTTCGCAGCGCAGCCGAGGGATGAGGGATCACATCGGATGGGGAGCCCCGAGGGTGGGCTGGAGAGGGCGGGGCTCTGCGGTTAATCAGCTGAGGAAGGAGGAGCCCCTCTTTGAAAAGATAGTCTCCATCAGTAGGGAAGGGGGGCACATCCTTTTGAAGAGACCCCTGGGAGTTATCAATGAGGACTCCCTCATTGTGTGTGTGTGCCTTTGTGTGTGCGTGCCTGTGTGTGCACATGTGTGCATATACAGCGTGCATGCGTGTGCATGTACAGCATGCATGCATGTGCATATACAGCGTGCACGCGTGTGCATGTACAGCGTGCATGCGTGTGCATATACAACATGCAAGTGTGTGCATGTACAGCGTGCACACACACAGGAGGACAGCTCACATGGGGGACCGATGGCTCCAGTGGCCGATGGGTGGCAAGTTATCCTCAGAGAGGAACGGGAACCCCGCACCACGCAGGGTCAGCATGGGCAAGTGTGCCCGGGGCTTCCCTTCGGGAAAAGTGGGGGCTGCTCTCAGTGCGAGTCTCTGAGGACAAGGGTGGGGCTGGCCCCTGAGGGTGGCCACACTGGTTAAGGCACTCAGGTGGGGCACAGAGGCTTGAATCCCAGAGCCATGGCGATGGGGTTGTCCCCGGGGCCGTGTCTGAGAATGCCATTTGGGGGTGATACCCAAAAAACAGCGGGTTGGAAGGGATGGTGGTGACTTGGAGAAGTGAGACTCAATCTCCGTGAAAACAACAAAGGGATGAGGCTTTTCCACAGGGTAGGAGGGGCGCGGGCCGGCTCCCCGACCCCCCCGGGTTGGCTGCTCTTCCTTCCTGCGGGCTCAGACCCTGCTCTCACGGCCTGGGTTCCCAGGACCCCTCCTCACAGTCCGCCTTCCCTGGCCGGCCTCACTCGGAGAAGCCCACACCTGGGTTCAGCCCCGGGCTGTACGCGGGGGTGGCCGGTGTAGACGCCCCAGCGGCCCTGGCAGATCCTGCTGCTCAGGATCACACGCAGGCGAGGCTGGGACGGTTCCCTTTCCCACAGAGCCTTTCTCCTTAGAGGGGGGGAGAGACCACTGCTGACCCATTTCAATGACAAAAGAAGTCAGAAACCTCATAGGGGAGGAAGAAAAAATATTTTTAAAGGGATATAGTAAAAAAAAAAGACTGGGGGAAAGCTCCACTTGGAACTCACTAGCCTGACCACGGCACACCAGACCTGAGGGCCTGGGGTCCCAGGGAGGTCTGGCTTCCCACCCGTTGGCGTGGCTGGCCGCCTGCCGGGGTGGCGGGGATTGTTCAAGTCCCCTCGCCCGTGGGGGAAGCCACGCCTGCAGGTGGTGGGCTGCTCCCAGGACCACACTAGACGGAGGAGGAGAGAGGCTCACTGGCCAAGGAGGATTAGCAGGCCAGTGGGAGCAGGCCGTGTCTATTTCCCCTTTGCTGACTGATTCCTGGAGAAATGGAGCAACAGACAGTCCCGAGAGAAAACGGGATTGAGAAATGAGGACGTGGCAGACACCATGTTGGCCCAGAGGGAAAGCCCGTCTCTTACCGCATCCCCAGGGCTGGAGATCATCCCTCGTTTGTAAGGTCTCTGCGGTTCGGACTGAACTAGAACCTCCCGTCAGCCACCGGGAATTTCAACGGGAACCCTCACATTTTTAATCTGACCAGATTTGTGAGTTTTGAATTTGTTCTAGATCACTGGAGTGTTTCAGGGCAGGGTATGCGGTGGTAGGAAGCCATGGGACATCTGCATCGCACAGACAGCACCTGCTGTTACAGGAGGGGCTTAGCCGGATGAAGGCTGATGTATGTGCTGCCGTCTGCGAACAGCAGAGGCAAGGCCTGATGAGCTCCCCTGTGCACTGTTACGAAGCTGTCTTCATAACAACAGCGACGTAAAAATTATGGCTCCCTGCTAAGGCTGCTGCAGGCTACTGCTGTGCTGGGTAGGGTGCTTCATTCATCCGGGCAGGTTGGCTCCGGCTCAGTACAGGAGACATGACTGCTTTTGTTACACATTCATAGGAATCAGGAAAAGACATTCTTTATGCTCCTCGTTTTCAATGCCCTACTTACCAACTTCATCCCTGATGTTTGCAAGTTCGATTGACAGCTCTTTTTCTTTCACAAGGGCACTTTCATTCTGAAAAAACAAAACGAATACCGACAGTCCCCTAGTTTTATGCTAGATAAGCACTTTCACATGTTTAATTAATGAATCATATTAAGCAAATATTTATAGGCCCAGCCCTTAAGGAGATAATTTTCTCATTATATAAGCATACAAAACTTACAAAGGCAAGTCTGACTCATTCATTTGTATCACATTCAAATGACACAGCTTGGGAGATAATACTCATAATACCCATGGTTGTGCTTTTCTCTAGATTACCCTCCTGTATATCATCTTGCAATGATTTTATGCATGTTTATGTCCCCCACATTAATCTACTGTCATATATTATTATATCCTCTTAATTATTACCACATTATGAGATTTTTGACCATAAAAAAGTCTGTGCTATATTTCTCTGAGGGGCAAATGCTTGCTTTACCAACTGTTCCTTCAACTTACCCTTTTGTCCATACATGGTTAGCTGCCTAATGGATAATAAAGATCAGAGCAGAAGACTTAACATGAAACATTTCTCTTTGTAATAAGACCAACAATAATACTTAAGGTTTCCAAGGTTTTTTTGTTCCACTGTCAGCATCAACAGTAGGAAAAACAGGAAATCTCACACTTGAAGTATCATGCAGCGCAAAAAATATCACGTGTAACTATAATAAATGACTGCTAAATTGTTTTCAAACCCAATACATTCTGTGACATAAAGTAGGGAAGTAGTTGAAGACATGCTGACTTTGTAGTCTGGGTTATTGAGTCACCATAAACAGTTTATTATAATTTTATTACTAATAATAACTAGGAAAGATATGCCATAAAAATTCTATTCAATTTAGAGATACCAAAAATATAGGCCTCCAAAGAAAGTCTGATATTCTGTAGAAGGTATTCGAAAGCAAACATTTCCAGAGAGGGAATTTTGGCTAAATTGTGGACCAAACACCTGGCACGAATATCACCTGGGCCTTGTGAATGTTCTTTCTTTATTAACTGTTGCCTTCACCTTTGGTTTCGGGGCTTCTGAAGACCCTGCGCTGCAGGTGACTTGGCAGTTTTCATAATCTTGCTCCCGAATCTGCTGTGTTTAGATGCAGGCAACAAGTGTGCTGCTTTGGGTTTACGGGAGGGTCTCAGGTTATTCAAATGGCATTTGCTAAGCAATGTCATAATATTCATAATGCCAAAAATAAAACTCTATTTTAATAACAAACAGAGAGCTATTGCAGCCACAGGCATCAATAATTATTAGCCAATGGTTCTCTTAAGAAAATGAAGCAATAGATCCATCCTTTGAGAGACAATGGCCCCTGCTATGGTCTGAATGTTTGTGTCCCCTCAAAATTCATATGTTTAAATCCTAACCCCCAACATGATAGTATTAGGAGGTGAAAACTTTGTGAGGTGATTGGGTCATGAGCCCTCATGAACGGGATCAGTGCATTATAAAAGGGATCCCAGAGAGCTGCGTGGCCCCTTCTGCCATATTTAGGTGCAGCCAGAAGGCACCATCTATGAAAAAATGGCCCTCCAAAGACACTGAATCTTTTGGAGCCTAGATCCTGGACATCCCAACCTCCAGAAATGTGAGAAATAAGTTCTGTTGTTTATAAGCGACCCAACTTATGGTATTTTGTGATAGCAGCTTGAACAGACTAAGACAGACCCAACAGACCAAGCTCCTCCCCCATCTCATCCATGAAGCTCTCTCCTTCCCAGCCCACAGCATCCTGGCTTTCCCTGAATTTCAAGGCTAGCAATTACACTTGAGAGTGTATATTTTCTTAATCATGAAATGATGTTACCTTGAAGTCATGCCCACTGCACAAGGTTATTATGAGGGTTAAATAAATTAATATATATGATATAGTTAGAATAGTGTCCAGCACTTAGCAAGCTCACACAAATGTTAGTTGTTATAGTTCTGTTGTTTCCTTTTATTTCATTTGCAACTGGATAACATCCTACCCAATATAAACTACCCAATTTACTAGCTTTTCCATATTAATTACCTAATTTAGGTGCTTTTCCATATTAATTATCTAAATATGTTTAGAATTTCCGTATGAGTCTTATGCTCTGGTATTTTAAGCACCTTCCTGGTCTGCCCTGATTTCATTCTAAGTTTTGATTTGGCCCAAAGACTGGGGAACTCAGAACAGGGAAAATGTCCTAAACAGACAGATCACAGGGATTGTATGCTTGTTTTAATAACAGCACAATATGGCCAGCTGATAATGAACTTGTTACTATAGGTTAGGAAAATCTGATATTTTGAAGAGGGTTAATTTCAGTATTTACCTTGAAATAATCTTAAACTAGCAGAAAAACTAACTTTCCATTATCAGGAATAATTCTGAACACTCATGTCCTCCAATTCCTAAACACACCCACTGTATTGAAATACTATTCTTATCAGTCCAGAAATAGCATCACTACAGTGCTCACTTTCAGAGCGATGAGAGTTGCAAAGACTTAGACCAGGCAGTGAACAACTGGAACATCACAAAATAACAAACTAACTCTACTTTCTAACCCAAAGCCAGCATGTCCCTCAGCCTCATGTAGTGAGCCCTGTTGGATGTCAACAATGTCAAGCCCTAGGGTTCTCCTATATCATAGTAAATCAGTCTATGCTTTCCAGCCACAGGGGAATCAGGCATTTGGGGAAGGAGTGGCTGGGAGCCTCGTGAGGGGGACAGGCTTGCTTGGGGACAGGGCTGGCCAGGGAGGAGATTGCTGATGAAGACCCTCAGATGAGAATCACTTTGCCCTGTGGCCAGGCCCTGCCCACCCATCTATTGCTTTACAAGAAACACAAATGAGATTGAGGGGAGCAAAGTGAGAGAATAAAAGAAAAGAAGCAAGAAAAGAAAGGTAGGGGTGAGTGTGAGAGATGGACAGAGAAGTAGGAAGGAAACAGAAGTGAAATTAGAGACCTCGTACCCTCCGCACATGGGGACAGACGCAGAGGCCATGGAAGGAAGGAGGTAAGAGACTGAAGGAAGATGCCCCCCCCCATATGCCCCACCCTTTTACAAGCTCAGGCCATAAAACCAACCAGTTTCAAACTACAGTCATCAAGTGGCTGCCAAAGATAAGCAACAAACCTGATGACTAAAATGCCAAGGAAAGGGACTAAACTCTGGTAAGTTCTGGCTGATTCTCTAAACTGCTAAGTTTTGGCTAAGTGTTATTTACTAATTACTAAGGGTCATTGATGCTGACCTTTACCAAACGCTCTCTATGGTCCAGACACAGTGCTAGGTAAAGCCTTTTACCTCATTTCCTCCTCCAAACACTGTCCAGGGGGCTCTGGTTTTATTTCCCTTCATGGAGAAGGAAACTGGGTGTCTTCGGTGAAATGACCGGCCCCTGGGCAGCCCGCTAGGAAATGGCAGAGGCAGGGGTTTAAACCCATCATCCACTCTCTTCATCAAACATGAACACACCAAGAATCTCCCTTCCTACTCATGCTTAGATAGGTGCAACTCCGAGGTTCAAATCTCACCGATCTCCAGGTTGGATCCGAGCACTTATTACCACAAGGCTTTTCAGATCTGACTGGATGAGGGGCAGAGTCAGCTCACGACCACTGTGTTGCAATGAAACAACAGAGTCCCTGGGTGCATTCACACCCCACCCCACAGCCTGAACTACCTGTGTCTGTCCTTGCTGTTGATGTGTGGGTTGCATGTTGGGATTATACATTTCCAGGACTTGGACCCACGTCAGCATAACCTACAGGGACGGTAACTTCTGATAGGGCAGCTATTTAGTTTTCACCAACGACCTCTAGAAGGATGCTTTCCGATGGCCTCTGGATACGTGCCCGCTAAAGATGCTGGCAAAGCTCACCTCTGCCTCGCTCAGGCCAGCCCGGGCAGTTTGGCGACAGCCCTTCTTCCTTAAGTGCTTGTTTTTGAAATGATATCAACTCTTCTAATTTATGAATTCTCTGCATCAAGTAAGTAACTTCTTGCTTCCTGCAAGCCAAACCAGAATGACGTAGTGCTAGCCTGCAATGAGATGAGTCAACAGCTACAACTGCAGGAACGCTGTTCTTTAGGCAAGAGGTGAACTTAAAGGAACCTTCCACTCATGGCTCCTTGCCTCAAAAACTTATCCCTCTATCCATCATGGCTCAACAGTCCAGCGTGGTCTTGCAAGGCCCTTAGGTTCTGCCAAACCCCAGGGACTCCCTTTGAAAGGATATCAAGTCACCATTCCCCTTGGTTCCCCAACCTAAGCCAGGTCCAGGGTGATGACACCACGGGACGACTGAAATATGAGCAAGGCCGCCCAGGGTTACATCAGTGCTTCTCTAAATGGGGGATGAGTGGAAAATTCCTAACTGGTGCCAAGAGCATGGGCCCCTGTTTTCACTCAAGATGGCTAAAAATAGAACTCAGTATTAACCATCCAAACTATCCTGGTGATACAGTCCAGAAATCGCAAAGCCTTAAGAAGGCCATTCCTCTAAAATTTCTGTTTACTCCATGACAGGCTTAACTGGAAATGGACACTTAGGGAACATTCATCCAAGCCCTAAGCCAGCAGCTGCATCTTCTTAGCTACCTCTTTTATTTGGCCATGTACCTCTCTCCTTTGCACTCTGCGTTCCCTATTCATTTCAGCGGGATATATATCTTACTCACAGATGGAATGCAAGGAGAGTTTTTCCCATGAACCATCCAACTCACCCCCTACACCTCTTGCCATAAACAAACCCCTGCAAGTCTGCTACAGTGAGGCTTATGCATCTTTGTAGACATGCCTCCCAACGCTAAGGCTTCTCACAGGGTGAAAAGGGTGCTGCCTTTCACCTCTCCGAGCTAGAGAAGCCTGGCAAAGCAGACAATTTACTAATCATTCCACCAACCTCAAGCCACTGGGTGTGTGGCCAAGCCCCAAGCAATCCTGCCACACTGTGTTATCTTAACACGCTTGGTCAATGGGAGTTATCTGCTCAGATGGTTGATGCTACTGTGGGAACCTGGTGGCCACAGGAAGCGAAC